CAGAGGAACAAAGAGGGGGCGAAAAAGCCGGCATTTTGTATCCGCATTCACGCTACCACATGGCGAAAAGCCGACTAGCCAGCTGTGTTAGCATTACTAACATCACTCGCGCTGACCACAAACATTTCTCAGAAAAGGCTAGATTTAATCACAAAGGTGGGAAAAGCAAGGAAGTGTGGCCAAGCGATTCCGATCACCAACATTTTGAATTAGCTCCCTGCTTCCTTCCGAATTTGCTAACGTATCCTGAAGCTAACGAAAACCCGGTGTGCCAGGGCACGAGGCCAAACTAGGCCTTGAGCCAAAGACAACGACAGCGGGCTTCTCTCACCGGCCTAGGCCTTGGGTTTGAAATATACCGGTCAAAAGCCAGTTTTTCCAAAGCGAGACACTTTCTGTTAATTCAGATAAATTTTGCCTGTTTTTTCATCGACAAAAACTACAATATTGAGCTGAGTGGTTCTTTTTTTCGACTATGAAAGCCTTTGGACATTTTTACTAGACGGTGATTTTAAAAAAACAAAGTCTAAATATATCAAATAATGTACTTACCCTCTATCTCTATCCCTGTCTCTGCCACGATCTCTGTCGGAATATCCAGGCATTTTGTATACAAACCGTATAAATTAAAAGGAAAAAGATAAATACAACGGACTTGGCCTGCCGACTGAAAAATTCCGACCGGCACTGACGCTGAAATACCGGTATCGCAAAAACGGGGTCCGGTTTTTATAACAAGAGGAAGTTCCACCCACCCGGGATGTATTCATCCGCCATACGGGGTTTGACTTTTAATGCTCACAATGTGAATAAAACACACAATAACACACAACAAAGAAGTAAACTCACCATAACTTTTAAGCTATAAGCTGTCTTTGCATTCCGAGAGTTTTACTAAATCTATTTTAGAAGCTAAGCTTGGCAAAATAGAAGAAACGTCAGCAAGGCTTCAGAAATAATAACTCAAAGAAATGTTTTTCGTGTTTTATTCCTGAATAACATGCTTATAAAAATCTCTCTTAAATCTGAAAGCACAAGTCAGAAAAGGTAAAAACTCAGGATCGCTTTGACCTCGGTTACTGAAGCATATACTGGCGGAAGAATATGTACGAGACAGAAAAGCGGTCACGCGGCTTGCTTGAACTTCCGACTTATTACTGTAAGTGACGTCATTAGAGGTTTCACCACATAAACTTTTTTTGTTTGTTTGATCGTATGTTGTATACAGTCAGCCAGACCCCGCGCGGCACGTGTAAACTTGTGTTTTACATATACTCGAACGAATAACTAGAAAATATTGTGATATAATAATAATAGTATTATAATAATCAGAGAAAATATTTAAAGAGTAGGGAAAAGCGTTTTTTCCCGACAAGAAAGTATCCCATAGCAACAAAAGAATACAGAGCATTATCTGGATAACCGTTAACAAAGAGAGACTAAACAAATCTGTGTCTCTGATTAGGGAGCTGTAACTTTGTAAGACCCAAACTCTTCCACGACATGCATTTTTAATTTCTCTTTGATATTTGGTCACATTGGGGCCTGATGAATGTAAAAACAAAGAATTACCTGAATTTTTTTTCCTTATTTTTGTTTTTAAGAAAAATAAGAGCCACATATGAGGATATTTGTTTACAATTTTGATAGAACAGTAGCAGTATAATGTCCTCGTAAGTGGATATCAGGCCCATGTAGAGCAAAATTGAGTATTTTAGTCTACATAACCCAAAATGTGATGTCCAGGTCCTGAGAGGTTAAAGAAAATTTGTATTAACTGTCAGTGAACGTATCAAAAACACGCATGACTGAAGCCCAAACATTGTTTGTTTACATTTGTCAGCTTTGACATATTGACTGTTTATGTCAATAACTTGTTTGGGGCAATATTCGACTTAACCGGCTAGTTAAGATAAGTGAGCCTTAATCCAGTTCTCCATTACCAGTGTTGTCAACATTTTGAACCCAAACCCACATAGACACGAAAAGTCTAATGTTCTTTTTCCTTCTTTACATTTATTTGCACTTCCCAAGATCAAAACCATTCAATGGGCCAAAATTGATAAGGCCACATCTTGTTAGTGTCTAGGGTGCCATTATAAATCAGAACTTCGCCAGTGTCAAAGCCCAGACCTATTTTTCAGGAATAAATCTTATTTCTCTCCCCAAGCCAGGAAACACTTGATCTCTGCAACTTTCCCCCCACAAACCTTATTTGGATTACAGTGATCTGCTCTTTATGAATTCACCAGGCCAGTAACTAAAGAAGCTGGATACTGTCTGACAGGGTTTTATTTTCAATTACTGGTTGTGGAAATCATGTACATCACTGTCCTCTACATGCTGCTGCTAAAAGGCCATCTCTGCATACCCGCTGACTTTCCCATTGGTTGTTTTTTACATCTACAAGTCTTTGTTTAGACTGGTTCCTTCTTATCTGTATGTCTAAATGTGTAAAAAACACAACCAGTGTGACCTACATTCTCCTTATATTACACAAGTATTTTTTCCCAGAGTGAGAACAGCTCAGCTCAGTTTCCTGTACTAATCTACAGGAGGAGTTGAAACCCCCCTCCCCAGCCAAGTACCAGCCGTTTAATCTGGAGTGGTCTCAGTGGGTGGTCACAGCCTTATCCCATTCACATGTAAAGACTTTGCACACCCACATGAGCCATTCTTATATTAGATGGTGCTAATGATGCAGTCAAACTGAAATAAAGAGACCGTTTAGGACCAATACTACCTGAAGTACCCCCCACCCCACCCCACCCCAATACTAATCATAATCAAAACACTCTTCTTGAAGAAACCACAGGACATCTGTTTGTACAAGGCCTTACATTGTTAGACAAAGGCAAGTTTAATTAGAACTAATTACACACAAAAATAAAATACTCTTACAAAATGATAGTGTTAACATACATCAAATTGCATCAGTCAGCTATGAGAGATATAGTCCTGCTAGTGGATCATGCTATAAAAAAAAAGAAGAAAAAAAAAAAAAGCGGCATCTCTCAACTTATTGAATAAAAACTGTAGTTCAATGGAGAGGCAGCTGTGGGGCGTTGCCGAGCGACGTAGTGTAGAAAGACAATTGGGCAAATCAGCCTGTGCACTGGACTTAAAGGTGAATGAGTATCTGGCACGGAGGTCGCCGAAGAAGAGGCAACCTCCATCTGTTCATGTGCAATTCCTCTACTCGGTTCAAGAAAAAGAAAAAGAAAAGTCTTCTTCTGCTTAAGTTAAAAGATAAATTACAGTTGGTTTGATCCACATATACGAACGATATTTTTTAATTACTGTACAAAAAGCACCATCTGAGGACACTTTTCACTTTGCGAGCGCTCGGTCTAAATGTATTTCTTTTCAAGCGTATGCAAACGTTAAGAACAGTCCACGGTCGTAGAGATTGCTAGACAGGCAGCATCTTTTAAAAACATTCAAGAGTTTCATTTTCAAAAATTGTAGAAAACACCCCCCCCCACCCCCTCTGTCTGGATTAAAACGGAGCGAAAGCAGGCTAAAAAACAAAAACACAGGACTTGTCTCATTTTAGTTCACGTTCAAACAAACGATGGAGACATGCAACAGTGAGTGTGCGTTTATGCTTTTCTGTGGGCACACTGAAAACATGACTTTTTAAACACCTTAAAGAGGACCTATCATGGGATTCTACTAGAGTAGCTTTGCATGATTTCACAGCTCAGAATGATCCTGGGCCCAGTGCACCCGCCTCAGTCCAATCCACCATCTGAAACAAGCCAGCTTTACTTTAATAGGTGGGCGGGGCTGTGTGTCTGAGCATCCTCTCCTCAGTGACTCACACAGAGGCAGGAGTGTTAAAAAAAAAGAAGCATAAAGCATAACACAGCATTTAGAGCAGTGAGACGTCTGAGGTTTGGGCTTACAAGGATTACTCTGTGACCTCTACATTTGAAACTTTACCCACTGTAACAGCAGATATATGACGCAAAAGAAGGAAAAACACAATAGGTCCCCTTTAACATTCAGGAAATCGAGACAAATAGAATTAATTTCAAATCAAACCAACATCCCAAACTACTTTTGACATCTCCTGAGAACGTGGCTAAGTAGAGCTCTTGGTGTCCACAAACAGGTAATGAGTGCGAGTAGTGTATTGTGCACTTTAAGCAGTAGTATGTCAGTGAGCGAGGATGCCGATACAAGACAAGTGTTAATGCTATTTAGCACCACGTGGCTACAAGGTAGTAGAGGTTTTTCTTTTTTCTTCTTCTTTTTAAAAAACAAAAAAAACAATAGCAATATGGAGCCAGCGCAAAGAAGACACCAACAGAGTTTGGACAGCTTTAGAAATGAATGGCAGGCATTGTGACATTAATATAGCCCAGCTACAAATGACTGTTTAAATAAAAATTCAAAAAAGCGGGTGGGGGCTCACATCACCACGTCTGTCGCTCCAGGATGAAAATCAGTAGAATTTAAAGGGTCAGCTCAATATTTGCAAAGATCCATTCATTCAGAACAGGTATGGCACTGAGAGGACATCGCGTGTGTGTCAAAGACCTTGTTTGTTTTGCCCTTTCTGACAAACGTCTCCTCGTACAGTGCGAGGGGTCACGGCGAGAGATAAACCACAGCATTCTTTAGTGAGATTGAGTCAAGCTTAACTTTTGTTTTTCACAATTTGTCTTCTATAATTTAAACAGCAACACTTAACAAAGATTTTATTT